AAAAAAAAAAAAAAAAAAAAAAAAGAAAAAGAAAGAAAAGAAAAGAAAATGTAATCCTCTGGAATTACTTATTGTTGCTTCAAAAGAATCAAAGAAAGAACATTATTTCAACAATTCACAACCTATAAGCAGACCACAGAGGCTAATTTTTAGAAACGATCTACTTGAGCCTTGAGCTACTAAAATATTTGATGTTTTGCATGGTAAGCTAAGAGTTTGTCAATAATCATACTGTGAATCCCATCACGGGTCGATCTGCACCCCTTTAATTCTTCAAAATGATGTATTTGTAAATAATGAGAATACCTCCTAACTAAAGGTCAACTGCTGTCATGTGAAATTTTGATCACTTCTTTATTGTTTGAATACAGGACATTCAGAGAGTTAAGTTATAGCAAGTGACAAGATGGCTTTGGTATTCTAAACACAAAGGAAGCTGATTGTCATTTAGGTTGTGAGCAGCAACTTAATTTCCACAAAACAACTTCATCTGCCCGTGAAATTAATGATCTCAATTTAGATTTATTAGTTTTATAGTTTTTATCGACTTGAACTTGTAAAATGGTTTTCTTATACATAATTATTTAAAGCTGATAAGCACATACTTTATACCTATTTTTATGTTTAAATGTGCTTAAGTAGTACTATAATAAGAATAATTAAGTCAAAGCTTATGCTCATGAAGAAACTTTGCTCTTAAAAAAGGCCTATACAGTTCAGCAGTATGGGGAAGAAGCTATTTCCCTAGTCACAGTTTGTCACAGCTAATCCGCAAGAGAACCAAGCCCTACAATGAATGCAAATGGACGAACCTGGGGAGCAAATGGGCACACAGAGATTGGGAGAAAGCTTAGGAGAATTTTCTGAAGTCAGCTGGGAAGCTTATAGGTGGAAACTGCCTCACAAAAAGCTTCCTATGCCTCTGAAGTCTTCTAGAATAATACTTCCTGGGAAACTCAGGCCATTGGTCTGGTTCTTGTACAGATCTTTATAAAGGCCCTGAAACATCTTGCTCAAACTTCCACAAATGTTGAATTCTTCAGTGCTCATGTCTTCACATGAAATTTAATCCCAAGTCCTTCTCACCTCCAGAACTCTCCTCTTGCCTCAGAATTCTCCTCACCCTTGTCCTTATCACCCCAATGGCCATGAATAGTCATTTCTCCCTGAGGAAACTGGACGTTATTCTTTTGGTGGTTCTAAATATGAATTCTTCTCCATTTCAATGCGTTTTGCACTGTTGCTGTCTCCACAGCAAACCTCAGACCATTTTGGCCATCTGTTCTAGAAGCCATGATGCTTCCATCTTGCCAACTGAATCTGGCATTCTGGGCCGTCTTCCTGGTACTAATGCTCTAAGGCTTCTAACACTCTTTCTATACATGTTCCCCAGTACTTCCTGAACTTCATCAGCAGTAAATCATTAGGTGACCATACTTCACTCTCTGCCTCTGGGACTTTAATGAAGCTGTTTTCTTATAGGAGATAGGCTTTCTTTCTACTCCTGTGTCATAGGTCAGGTTCCCAAATATTCTAAGACTCTAAAATGCATGTTTAGGGGTTTAATTTTGGAATGCTGTAAAGAAAGTGATACCTGAATGTCACAGATCACCTAGGCTGCTGTAACAGTATAACATATACTGGGAAGTTTATGTCCAATAGAATCTCATTTTCGATAGTTCTAGGGATGGGAAATCCAAGACCAAGGGACCAGCAAATTCAATGCTGGGAAGAGTCCCTCTTCTAGCTCAGAGAGCCTCCTAGCTGTGTCCTACATGACAGGATGAAACGGCTCTCTGCGGTCCTTTTTATGACTGCACCAACCTTGTTCAATAGTTTTCAGCACTCATAACCTAATTACCTCCTCAAAGACTGCCTCCAAAAACCATTCCCTTAGAGGTTAGGATTTCAACTATGCATTTGAGGGACAGCCAATCATTCAGACCACAGCAGAGAGTATGTGAAAAAGAACAGAGGGAAACAAGATTGTTTGGACAGAAATTAAGTGGAACTTTAATAAAATTGCAACACTAAACAGTGGATGCTACTGATCTTAATGAGAACTCTAATGCTGAATAGCCCATTTAGAAATTTCTAATCCCAGGAAGGCAACAAGAAAAGCTTCGATATCTCTGCCTTGACCAGTCATTGCCAGCTACCCTAAGAATGGAGCACAAGTTCACTTTTATGAGGCAACTTTCTTTACTCATGAACAATCAGTAGCCAACAATATGGCAGGTCTTAAAAGTGGATCCACACAGTACAACATACACACTTCAACCAATCCCTTGTGCCACCCCAACCACTTGGTTCATAGAGTAGCGTCACTCTATTTAGGAAAAACTCAAGAATTCCAGTTAGTCTGTGTCCCTGGGGCCACTCAGAAGAGGACAGTTAAGTGCCAAAGCTAAAGTTAGTATTCACTGTCTTTCCTCCATTATCCATTTTTAAATCTCCCTAAACTTAATCTAATACCTTTGCTCATTTAAGTAGGTTCCCACGTAGGGCAAATCAGATTCTAATCCCTGAGGAATCTGGCTCCAGGCTCAGTATCAATTTCTTTGAACATGGCTGCTCCACCTTCAGATATCAAATTATATTCCTGTGGATCATCTAATTCTCTACTTTGTCTCCAGTAACAGCAACCCTGCCGGCTCCTAATTATAAAGCACAATCAGCCTACCAGGGTCAGTATTATTCTCATTGTTGATCTCTTAGCAAAAAGAAACTAATCCCACAGGGTGGGAATCATCAGGTAAAGTTTAATGGAACTCAGTGCTGTTCTCTGGTGTGGCTCCTATCTAAAAACATTTATAGACATACAAAGCCTAGAGTTACAAGTTTGAAAAACATAAACTCCCTCTAAGGATTGCATCAGATGATGCTGAGACTGCTTCTGTCTACACTCTGGCTCCCCAAATTCACATAGTCTAACTTTTGGGAAGACTGAAGTCTATAACAATCACTTATTTAATGAGTATTTCATCCCACAAGATGGTACTCATATGCACTGGGTATCATCCACAAATTGGCAACGTACTGTGCCTTCAAGAGACTATTCAACCAACAGCCCCCGGGTGGTGCAGTATGTGAGAGAATCCCTGTATCCCATGATCACATGTCCGCTGTCACTCTTCCACTGTTATAAAGTGAGTGCTTTAAAAAGAATGTTATTACACTGGTGCATCAAATAACAGTAGAGGTAGTGGTTCTGGCTGAGGCTCTCCAAGCTAAAAGTAGAAACCCATACAGGTGAATATTATCATGATTTCTGCCAAAGGTATCTTGTGAAAATAACTTTCTACCTAGCTAGTTGTGTGTCTCAACTCCTAGGTACATACCAGGGACTTGTCGTTGATTTCTATTGCTGACATATTGGACTTCGAACAGCAACATTAATGAGATTACTCTTAGCAAGTACTCACAGGTTGGCTCTCCACCCTTTTCACAAAGGCTACATTGGTCATAAGTTCATTTTGGCAACTCTCGGGTGGATAGTGGCAAAGGCTGACTGATGTGAGCAGGCTGAGTAATGCTATCTATCTATCTACCCTGCTACAGAGCAGCTTTTCTGAGGAGCCTGCTCTATGGTAGACATTAACGTGCAGTGCAAGGGTCTCCACACATCATGCCCACTTCCAAAAGGTCTATGAATACATGCCTCTTCATTAGACATTATTCTGAATTTTCCATTCTTTCTTCTTTCAGCTACCTAACCAAAATAACTGAGCCATTTGACCTCTCCATGACCTATCCTTAGTTTGGACCCCTTATCTTTCCACACAAAGAATACAGTATTAGATTAACGTGCCAACCAAACCTATCTTAGAAAGAGAGTTTTTCCATGCCGCACTTTGCTGGACTTACCCCCAAGCGGACCTTGCACACTTGCTCACATATTTCAGGCCAACTCTTTAAGTGAAATATATGCAACATTTTTTACTCTCTCACTACTTGGTCATTAGAGATACTTTATCATGTGGCCATGGGTACAAGCTAAGGAAAATGTCCCAATGAAACAGTGATAGCTGTCGTGGGGTCTTGAACAACCTGCTCAATCCTTCTATTTATAACCTGTGGGATTTATTTACATCCTAATCTAAATAAGCCTCTTCCATCTCATTGTGTTTTGTGACCACACTTGCACAATCTTACGAGTTAGATATTCTGCAAGAATCCAGCTCAAAAAGGGCATCACTGGACCCACAAGCATTTGATGTTTCATGGTCAGACTCTCTGTGTCTGCCAGAACTCAGTACCACACAAAAAGCCTAGGTTAGGGCCAGGGATAGAGGTCAGTGTCATAAACACCTGCCTGGCAGGTGCAAGGTCCTGAGTTCGATTCCCAGTACAAAAAAAAAAAAAAAACCTAAGTTAGCTGAATAATGCATAATTCTCTGCTGCTAATGATGGTAAGACTAGCTTCAAATCTCTGCAGGTGTATGTGGCAAATTCTCTTTGGTGGAAGAGAGTATACCAATCCCAGATATATATAAAATACCAGAGTATTACATCATCCCAATGAAAGGTTCATTGAATTGCAGCCTGGATTATGCAAGAGCGTATCCCCTAAAGGTAGAAGCATTTTAAGTCACCCAATAGTTGAAGTGGAGAGATAACACAAATGTAGAATAAGCTGCCACCAGAATCTGAGATTTCCCAAGCATTGTATATTTATCCTAGCATTAGTACTATGAAATGCAGTAATTTGTGCACTGTGCCATAAATGTATACTATGTCCAAAAGTTGTACACTAGGCTCTTTAAAAGGGTCATTAATCAGTTTGATTCCTCAATCTTTGAAGCATTTATCTTCAACTCTCTGGAGTGTACATACTTATGAAGGTCCCTTTTTGTTCTTTCCACCCAATGAATATGTTATCAATATAGTAGTCAAGATGATATTATGTATGCAGACACAAATGGTCTGAAGCCCTTAGTTTGTATTTTAATAAAAAACATAGATATAGAGCAAGACAGTAAAAATATACTCTTGCCTACCTTGGGAGAATTCAACTTGCTTTTGCTCTTCCTTCTTGATGGGGCTATTAAGAACGTAGGCTCCAACTCAGTGGTAATATACCATGTGCCTTAGGCCATGTTAGTCCTTACTCTAGTAAAAACAGCATACTTGGTATAACAGGTTCAATTGGTTGGACTCCGTGGTTGAATCTGCAGACATCTGTTGTCATCTTCTAGACTCCATCTGTATTTCCATAGAAACTATGCTGGTGAAGTAAAGAGGAAATATTATGGGCATCATCACTCCTGCATCTTTGACATTTCTAACCATGGCACTAATATCTGTCATTTTTCCAGAATTCAACATTGTTTTTAGTTAACTATCTTGGCCAGGAGTTTGAGAAAGAAACACTTAAGAAGGTTCTGCATGGCCTTCCTTGTGATGGTTCTCACCCCCGCAGGTAAAAGAATTTACATGGATGTTTTACTACTACCAAACATGTGTCTTCTCCAAGTTCATATTCTCCCCGTCTAGCAGGTACCCTAGATACTAAAGACCGTGAAGAATCTGTATCCAAGTGTCCTCAGAAATATCTGGGCAATCCCATTTTTCTTCTGTCAGACAGCCATGCATACTTTGGAGGGAAAACTGTAGTATTTCTTAATGTATTTACTGTACTTCCTGTATTGTTGCAGGTCCTACACCCCAGGCTTTCTTCTCTAGACAATTATGACTTCAGAAATAATCTTGATTTTTTTTTAATTTTTCATATGTTCTAGATAGAAGTCCTTTGTCTGAGGGGCAGTTGGCTAAAATTTTTCCACAATTTGTGGGTTTTCTTTTCACTCTGTCAGTGATTTCTTTTGACATGAAAAACCTTTTCAGTAAGATGAGATCCCAGTTGTTGAGTCTTTGAAGTATTTCCCATGCAGTTTGGTGTTTGTTCATGAACTCTCTGCCTACCCTATGTGTTCAAGATTTTTACTGACTTTTCTTTTAGTAGATTTAGTGTTTCTCTTTTAATATTTAGATCCTTGATTCATTTTGATTTAGTTTAGTGCATGGTGATAGACATGGGTTTAGTTCTAATTTCAGGCCCCCAAATTTAAAGACCTAATACAAAAGTGAGCATCTGAGATGAATACATACTTCTCAGATGAAGAAATACTAATGGAGAACAAATATATGGAAAAATGTTCAACATCATTGGTCATTAGAGCAATGCAAATTAAAACAACACTGAGATTCCATCTCACCCCAGAAAGAATGGCTATCATTAAGAAATCAACCAATAACAAATGCTGGAGAGTCTGTGGGGAAAAAGGAACACTTCTCCACTGCTGGTGGGAGTGTAGAGTGGTGAAACCACTGTGGAAATCAGTCTGGAGATTCCTCACAAAACTAGGATTAGAAGTCCCACTTAACCTAAGTATTTACCTTCTGGGTATTTTCCCAGAAGAATTAAAAACATACCACAGCCATATATGTGCACCTATGTTTATAGCAGCACAATTTGTAATAGCTAAATCCTGGAAACAATTCAAATGCACATCATCTGAGCAATGGATAAAAAAAAAAAGATGTGGTGTTTTTATACAGTGGAGTATTACTTAGCTTTAAAAAAATAAACTCAAGGCTTTTATAGGTAAATGGGTGCAAATGGAGACCAAACTCACAAGTGAAATAAATCGGACCCAAATGTATAAACATCATTGTTGTCTCCCTAGTGTAAGAACCTGAAAGAGTAAGCAAAACTGAAAATGTACAATAGATATTGGGGAAGGGAAAGAAATTGCTCAAAAGAAGGAACAACTGGGATGAGGGACAGGAGAAAAAGACAGAAAGGAAGAAGGAAGGGAAAATATGCATATGTATATAGAAGAATAGCTGAGACAACTATACTGCTGAAGTCTAGTGGTTTATTGAAAGGAACAGTTAATGCCTATTTTTTTCTCTTTGAGCAATTTTGCATGCTTATATCTGGTAATCTGAACAACTGATTTGAAGACAACAATATGCAATGTAACAACCATTGGTGAATTCCTACCATCTTGTCTGGGGAAGCTCTGTATCACTTCTAATGGGTTTTTTGTTGTTGTTGTTTTTATTTTTTATTCTCTTTAATGGTTTGATCAATCTTGCATTCTTGCATCTGGTAATCTGAGCAACAATCGTTGAAGATAACAGTGTGTAATATGACAGCGACTGTTAATCCCTATTATTTTGTTCTGAAACCCTGTATCATTTTTATTGTTTTTGCTTTGTTTTGTTTCTATCTATATTGTTGATGTGTTACTCTTGTTCTTTTTTAAATTCTCTTTAAGATAAAAAAAAAGAAATAGGGGCTGGGGATTTAGCTCAGAGGCAAAGCGCCTGCCTGGCAAGCGCAAGGTCATGAGTTCGGTTCCCAGTACCGGACAAAAACCAAAAAATAAATAAAGAAATAAAGAAATAAAGAAATAAAGAAATAAAGAAATAATCTTGAACTCTTCAATTAAAGAAATAGTTCAAGGAATGTGATTTATTTCTGGAAGCAGCCAAGGGGCAGAGACGGAGACAGAGAGAAGAGTAATGCTCTTGTCAGTGCCTCATTTTCCTAGAACTAACATATACTATTAATTATTTTCATTGTTGACATTCTTTTATCCCTTTTAGTTGAACATTTATCTGCCTGGCTTATTGTTGGGAATTGATTCTATTGATTGGTCTATTTGTGAGGAGAAAAGTTAAAGTTAATAAATACAGAAAACATGCATATTCTCTTGTGAAGCAGAGACCCCTGCACCATCTTGCGGCAGCAGTCTTTAGAAGAGATAAAACACATGCTTCTACAGTCACAGATAATTCAGGAAATTCAAGGACTTGGAAATTCTAACACATCAACTCAGATGTTCTTGACTTATTCCTTTTTCACCTTAACATAGTGAACTTGCTAAGATAGAGAATTCAACTTCCTCTGGAGATTTGTAATTTGTGTAAAGTATAAAGTATAATTATGCATTCATAATGATATTTCAGTCAGTAATGGAACACATATATAATGGGGGTCCCATAAGTTATAATGTAGCTTAAAAATTATAAATACACCTTTGTAGATCTACTGGAAGTTTCAATAGTAAAAAAAATCCTTCAGCAATGGACTCAGTCAAGACAGGTGGTCAGATTTTTGCAATGCCACACTAACTAGTCTCTGGATAAGGAGTATTATGGGGGATGCATACACATGCAGTGGCCATGGTTCTTTTAGGGCAAAGCAGTTACTGGAGCTTCAACACCCAGTGCTCACAGGAATTGGGGGAATAAATATGTCCATCAATACTCAGTTCTCAGAAGTAGTATCTTGAAGGGAGTTTTGGGTGGTAAGACACAATATTCTTTACTATTTACTAAAGCTCACATCAAATTTCACTCTCTTCTTCCAAGCAGGTAATATTCTCATTTTCTCTCTGAAGTTCTTGAAGACTTCGCTATGCTTTATTTATAGCAATATCTTCTACTACATTTACTGATAATTCTAATCCTTCCTGATATATTTAAAATTCCTTGAGTGGTTCATTTGTGTCAGGCTTTTCTTTGAGCACCTTACTAAGTCTATTTCTGTACCTTCTCATTGTGCAATCAATATTTGTTTTATCTTGCACACTTCTATTCATCTTCAGATCTCAGCTTACAAAGCCTTTCTTTAAGAAAGCTGTTCTAACCTCCCAGACTCAGGAAGATTACAGATGTTCATTACACCTTGTACTTTTCTATCACTGCATTCATCACAATCTACTTAATTTATCACAGAACTAATTGTTTAACAGCCTTTTACAGCTAAAAGTAAATATTCATGAAGACTAGTTCTAGGTCTCACTTTTCACCACTTTATCTGCAGAAATTATTGCAATGCCAGCTGCTGGTAAATAGCTAGGAAGTAGTTGTTGAGGGAAAAGATGAACAAATTAAGGAATGAAGGTGAGGATCCACTTTAGGATGAAAGTTGCTTGGAAAAGATTGGAAATCCACAGGCACTGGACTCACAGGGGCTTGATTTAGTTCATAAGCATTTTGTTCTCCTAGGATGTTGGCAGGATGAAGAGCATCAAGGGGCTATCTTGATGAGCCAATGAAAGGATCAAAGTATTGTAGACATTTTGACTGCAGAACAGACCCTCATGAAAGACTGCCCAAATAGTCATCTGGAAGACACAAAAGGACCGTCAACCTCTGAGGTTCATGGTCGGATAAAGTGGCCTTCTACACAAATAAGAGGTCAGGTAGAGTAAAACATTAGTGTGGAAAGGAAACTTTTGTCGTGTTTGCTTGTTAACCTGGTCCCTCACCAATGATCAGGGGATTGCATTTCAGCCAGCAAGACCCTTATATATAAGCCACCTCATTGTGCTTTTAAAAACCAAGACAAAGAAGAAAAAATGATCCCGCGGTCTTCATTGCCATATTTCTTGAACAGAGGACACAGAAGGATGTAAGGATCACAAGTACTCTTTTGCAATCTCATCAGGTATTTTCTATCAAAGTTGGCTTATTGTGTAGATATATAGTTCAATAAGCACACACTTATCACATGTCAATATGCAAATGTTTGTACAGTCACTATTCACGTTTCTAACCTACTGTAGATGTTGGGTTCTTGCATCACATTGTATAGTTGCAAATTCTATCTAAACCACATATAACATGAGCTGTATTTGGAAAGTCATTTGGCAGCCTCAGTTTCTCCATTTATAAAACAAAGGTAACAGGAAAAACTACACCAGAGTTACTATAAGGGAGGAAATGAGAAATCAATACTTTCTGTGCAGTAAGTCACCAGTCCTATGATTAGCTGTTATGATAATAGATGGGCCGTGTTCGATAAAGAAGGTTGTCAGGCACTTATTGATAGGATTATGAGCTTCATGTTGCCAAAACTGTATATGAGTTAGGTGAAAGTCAGGTGCAAAATATATCATAATCGAAAGGAATACTTTAAATAATAAATGTTCCTTAGAAGAAGGACCTTGTATTAACAGGGTACTTATCTAATAACTGCCTGCGAGCTCCCTGATGTGAGTTAGACAATATTTCTGTCATGTAGGAGTTGGACAGGAATTTGGAGGGAGTTTTCAGTTGCTGTATACTAGCACAACTATGGAAATTAACATGAAGATTCCTCAAAACTCTGAGAATAAAAATTTCATTCCACTGATCCTCAGGCCTGTTTTTTTTTGTTCGTTTTTTGTTGTTGTTGTTGTTGTTTTGTCAGCACCATTATCTTCTTTGTTATTTTGTTTTCTTTTCTCTTTAAAATAAAAAGAATTTAAAAAAACATATTGAAGAAGTAAAGAAAATTTCATTCTACCCGAATATTCTCTTTCTAGGTATCTTCCTAGAAGAATTAAGGACATCAATGTGTCATAACAATGATATTGGTACCCATGTTAACAGCATCATAAACGCAATAGCTAAATCTTGAAAATGGCCAATATCCATTAAGAGATGACTAAATAAAGAAAATGTAGTATTTGTACATGATGGAGTACTACTCTACTATAAAGAAGGATAAATGTGAGTCATTTATGGGAAACTAGATGACCTTTGAGATCATAAAGTTAACTGAGATAAGTCAAACACACAAGCTTAAATTTCACACGGTCTCTCCGATATGAGAAACCCAAAGTATAAAGTATAAATTTAAAGAGCAGCATTCAAAAAAGAGCAACATAAAGAATAGATAATAGGAAAGAGGGAGACAGATCTTTTTCTAATGGAAAAATGACCAAGGGATGGAGGTAGAGGGCAGATAGAAAAGGAGGGGAAAAGAAAAGAATTAAGGTGTGTTATGTATTCAGACCAACTCCCCAAAAGAAATGTAGTGTACATACACTAATAAAAAAATTAACTAAAATAACTCCAGTAAAATCAACACATACAAAATGCACCTCATTATCAAATATCACTTACAATGACTGCTTTTTAAATTGTGCATTGGATTTCTACAGGATCTGTAAGAATGGCTACCATCAAGAAATCAATCAACAACAAATGCTAGAGGGGTTCTGAGGAAAAGAAACCCTTCTCCACTGCTGGTGGGAGTGTAGACTGGTGAAACCACTGTGGAAATCAGTCTGGAGATTCCTCAAAAAATTAAGATTAGAGGTCCCATTTAATCTAGATGTTCTCCTTCTGGGGATTTTCCCAGAAGAATTAAAAACATCATACCACAGCGATATACATGCACCCAAGTTTATAGAAGCACAATTTGTCACCGCCAAATCTTGGAAACAACCCAAATGCCCATAAACTGAGCAATGGATAAAAAAGATGTGGTATTTTTATACAATGGAGTATTACTGAATTCTAAAAAAGATAAACTTGAGGCTTTTATAGGTAAATGGATACAAATAGAGACCATACTCATAAATAAAATAAATCAGACCCACATGCATAGACATCATGTTGTCTCCCTAGTGTAAGAACAAGAAGGAATAAGTGGAATCCAAAACATGCAATAGATATTGGGAAAGGGAAAGAAATTGCTCAGAAAAGGAAACTGGAATTAAGGAAAGGAGAAAAATAAAGAAAGAAGAAAGGGGAAAAAAATATATATATATATACAGAAGGGTGGCTGGGATAACTGTACTGCTGATGTCTAATGGTTTATTGAAAGGAAAAGCTAATGCTTTTTTTCTTTATTTTTTTAGCAATTTTGCATGCTTATACCTGGTAATCTGAACAACTAATTTGAATACATTATGCAACATAATAACCATTGTTGAATTTCTATCACCTTATTTGGTGAAACTCTGTATCATTTATAGTTTTTTTGTTTTTATTTTTTATTCTCTTTAATGGTCTGATCAATCTTGCATCCTAATATCTGGTAATCTGAGCAACTTTGATGAAGATAAAAATATATAATATAACAACTACTGTTAATGCTTATCATTTTGTTCTGAAACCCTGTATCATTCTTACTGTTTTTGCTTTGTTTTGGTTTTGTCTATGTTGTTGCCATTTTGCTATGTTTTTTCAATTCTCTTTAAAATAAAAAAAATTGAAAAAAAATAAATTGTGCATTGAGATATAGGAAAATAATAAGTTTCCTTCTCCAGGCCTAACTACATATTTAGACATAGAACCTATCAATACTACTAAGTTTTCCCCACCTTTCTGTTAAGAATTACCAGTAAGGAAATTAAGTACCCTGTGGAAAGGTCCTGCCCATATCAAGAAGATAGAAGTGCTACAACTGAGAATTCAGGGAGAATCAGAACAGATAGATTTTAAGGGCTTTCTACTCAATCTATTCATGTTAGATCGCACCCTTTTTGAACAGTCAGATTGCTACACAGCCGTCCCTGCTTCACTGATACTAAGCATAAGAGTGGAGAGTCACATTGGCTTTTGAAGTCTTTAATCTGAAGGATCTTATGTCACATAAATCTAGGATCAAATAAATTTATGATGCTTTTTTATTGCTAACCTGTCTTTCGTTACAGCGGTGTCAGCCATAACCTTTTATGGTGGACAGGAAAGAGAGGATCCTGTTTCCCTCCCCTACAAGTCCTGGTTTTAGTGTTTTAATATTCAAATACAATCTCTATTTTTATGTCACCTATTTAAAAGAAAATGTTATGGTGAGAAACTGAAGATTCTGCTAAAGGACCCTGCTGTGTAAATACACAACCTTTGCCTTCCTGATAGGAAGACCAGGAAGTGCAGACCAGGCGTTAGCAATGTCTGAAGTTCTACTTTGGTGCCAACTTTGTGTGTGGCACTGAGTCTGAGCATGCCACCCTGCAATCTGTACCTCAGACCTCACTTACAGAATTTGAAATTTCAACTCACATTATTGGGCATGTACCACAATCAAACTATCATGCAGGGACCAGGCAGTGGTTCTAGGATGGCCTCAAACTTGCGAACCTTCTGCCTCAGCTTTCTGAGCATGGGGATCACAGGAATCTGCCCCAGGGCCCAGCTTCCAGGAGGACTTGAGACAGGAGCACGGGGCAGCATGCCCATGCTTCATTTCTGCGACTCGTGTGCTGCCCCTGCTCTCCACACTTGGTTGGTGTTGCTGCTGCTTCCTTTTGCTCCCTTGCATGCCTTGCCACCTCTCAGGTCAAAGGCCCTGGTTCTGCAAGGTCTTTATTCCCTTCTCTTTACTCTTCTAACCGCCTATCATGACCCTTGGCATTCAACACTATACTTACATATAGAAGGGACTAGATGAAATTTTATGTAGGTAAAAATATTAATAGCTATTTTAAAAGGAGGGATTAGATGAACATTATAACAGACGCTGAAAGAATTTAAATAACTAGTTTTTCTTTTCATATCTAATGTGTTATCTCACAAAAGAAACTCACAAAAGGCAACTAATTGTCTCCATTTTGGAATAAAAGACTCAGAGTAAGCTGATGCTATGATTTAGACTTATTTTATTATTATTACTATAAACACATGTTTATGGGTTTCATACTGGCCCTTATAAATGGGCATATATTATGCCATGATCATATCCACCTTCCTTCTGCCCTCTCTTGCCCTCCCCTCCTGCGCCCCACCCCTTGGAGAGGTGGGGTCTAGTGAGACCTGGTAGGGTCCCTGAGGGTGTTGCCCTTGGTGAGATCAATATACTTTTCACCGGATCCTGAGTTTGTACTTAGGAGAAAATTTTTCTAGAAAAAAACAAGAGTGGCTGATCTCCAATCTGGTTCCCCGTCTCATCTGCCATGATGTAATACAGCCAGCAGGGCCCTCACCAGAGCTGGGACATTGGACTCAGCCTCCAAAACTATAACTTAAATAAACTCTTTTTTTCCTAAAGTATCCTGCCTCGGGTATCTGATTATAATAACATAAAATAGGGTAATAAATCTAACAAATGTGTCATGGAAGCCTAGATTCAAACATGAGGCCATACAATTCTAAATTCTATATTTCTACATAATCACGCTTTCCAGAATATTACACTGAGGAAAAAAAAATGTATCCTAGACAGAAAGTTTGGAAGGTCATCAAAAAAGTGATACTCGAGGTAGATTTTGAAACTGGAAAAGATTATGACAGAAAAGTAACAGAAACGTGTCCTGCAAAGGGAATATTAATAAATGCCACAGATTGGGAGCTTTGAATTTGATTGAGAAAAGAGCAGTACAGATCAGCTATAGGTTATGGTATGTGAAGAGTAATCAAAAGTATTATGATAATAATATGATACAAAATTTTTTATACATTTCTACCATAGATAGATAGATAGATAGATAGATAGATAGATAGATAATCTTCAAGAACTTCCCATTTCATGCAGGCTAAAATCCATGATTGCCAAATTTCGCTCATATGTGTTAAACTCACCAGCCCCTCTTCAAGGCCTAAGAATTGTCATTTCTTAGCTCTAGAAATCTCCTTTCATAGCTAGTTCTTTTCTTGATTTCTCTATACATTCTAGTTTCAATTCAAATGTCATCTCAAAACATAGCTTGCTTAGCCATCCTATCTGAAATAATACCCTCCTTTTTATTCTCTCTTTATCCAGCCTTATTTTTCTTCATATTGCTGGTCCATATGCCACTTTAAAAAAACTATCAATGGCACCAAAAACAAACAACGTCTGAGAAACTATCACACCCAGGAGTTGCATTTCTCAGACTACCATGCTTCTGACAAATGAATATAATGTCGGACCCTGTGTAGGAGATTTAGACTGGAAAAGCCAAGATTCTGGATGAGAAATAAGGAAATTTGAATAAACTGCAAGGTTTAGTTAATTATAATGTCTCAAATAAGATGTTAGTAATAGGCAAAACTTTAAGTGAGGAAATTCTCTGCACTAACATCATGATTTTTCTGCCAGATCAATCCAATCTAAAAAGATGTTCATGGTTCTGTGTGTGTGGATGTGTGTGTGTACTGTTTGATAATTATCCATCTCCCTGGGAACTCTTTCTGTTTTATCACCAGTCTTAGAACAACGTCTGACACATAGCAGACATTTAATAAATATTTGCTTCATTAATTAATTGTGTCAATTATACCTCATAAAAACCCTATGATGGGCTCCAGGATTTTAAATAACATTTGATAGGTGACAGAGAAAGCAAGTATAAACTAAAGTATGACTTTATGATAGAGCACTTACCTACCACGTGAGAGTCCCTAGGTTAAGTCCCCAGCTCTGCAAAAAAAGGAAGGAGAGAGAGAGAGAAAGCCAAGGTCAAAACCACAATTCAAAATCAATTCAATCTGTTTCATATTTTGTGTATTTAACTACAATTTAGGACTTAAAAGGGAAATTGGAATACTGAATTTGTAAGTAATGTGACGGCAATAGGGACCCATGAAGGTTTTAAGGACGATTAGTAGCAAAATAGCTGTTTAAGTTAAAAAATATTAAGAAGAGCAGTGACAATGATAAGAAGGGAACTTTGAAGATTATGACAATGATGCCAATGAGAAGACAGGAGAAGCTGGGATGCAGTGGGAAGAGAAGGAAATACACAGCTATAAGATACGGAGTTTGGTCTTATAATATATGGGATGGACTGCTGGTTCCAGGGCACAAACAAGAAGAAAATGATAGTGATTACACTGAGGTTCTCAGTCTGGAGGACTAAAAGAACAGCACCCTCAAGGAGGAGTGTTGGAAGGAGGAGCTGCAGCTCTCTGTCCTTTCTATATATCCATGTATTTCACTTGGTTTTCATAAGCAGTGAGTGAAATGTAAACACAAAAACAGAAAATCCTTTGAGAAATTAAAAATATTACATAATTTATAAATTCATTTCAAAATGAATATTTTTAAGATCCCTAAGTAGAAAACGCACAATAGGAGGATATTTTTGCCCTCTTAGTTAATGCTTAGCTTTGTCTGACAGAGCATCAGTGATGGTTTTGTTATTTCTCATGTTTCAAGTGCAAAAGTTTGAAAATAAAAAATAATAATCCCCCTAGAAAGCTTTCTGCTCTCCACATCAGTCTCGAGGCTATTAAATGATAATTATGACTATGACTTAATAGCTAAGACTACATACATACAAGCTACAGAACAAATGAAAGGTGTTACCCTGGAGCAGAGTAATTTTTTTATGATCAATAGCCCATCATTAGCATAATGTTTATTTTATGCATTTGCAGACTTTATATTACCTGAGTTGTGGTTTATAAATATTAACCTATTGATCTTTGCTGCTCCTCCATCCGCTACAAGAGTTTCTATAAACATCATCACTTCCTTTTCTTGTAGGTGAAGGACAAAACAATAAAACAAACCTCTAGTTGTTTGATGATTATACATACATAGTTATAGAAAGTTCAGAATCCAAGGTTGTCTAACCACACAAATTCTTCAAGCTTTCCTAAGAATTTACATTCAGCTTATTCACAAATTCCAAACTGATAATATGTTATTTTTAAATGAAAATGTACAGTAGAATGAGCATCATAACGCAGCATACATATTTTTACCCAGCACTGTAACTTACATATGCTTTGTAAGTTATCAAAATAGCATGCTACTGGGTTGATTTTACAAAAATCTACTGGCAATTTTTTTAGCTATAGGATTTCATAAACAGGATTTTTCAAATTTTTCCCTGGATACATGTCTTTTCTTTCTTTTGGAAGCTCATTACAGTGAATATTAATCTGATTTCATTTAGGTAGTGAAGATCAGTTCTTTGAATCACCAAAATAATACATCATTAAAAACATACTTAGATGAGCCTAAGAAACCCATTAATTTTCTTATACTATTTTTACTCAGATTGTGTGGACTTCTTAACAGGAAGGTTTATTTGATCCATTATTTCTTTAATTCACTTTGCTAAGGTAAACCTGACAGAAGACTGAAGCCTCGGACCAACGTTAGAGTTACATTTAATGAAAATCTACAATACAAACGCATTTCAATTATTCATGTTTTCAGATATGTGCTGAAGAATGGGTACACATTTGTGTGTGTTTCTTTGATAGGATTCAAATAAGCAGTGAGCTTTAGAAAATACAGCCCTTAGTACTTTCAACAAATATCTTTTTACAAGCTTATCTTGAGCAAAACAGAGACTTTTAAATCAAACTTCTATTTCATCTATTTCTTTCTTTATTACTGAAATGAGTAAAGTAATTTTGCCTGGTAATTTAAATGCTTATCAAATTGGGAAGCAATAAGTATGACAATCAGCCTATTTGTTAGAAGCTGACTATATTATTATATTATATTTTATGACTGGGGTGATACATTTGTCTTGTCATGGGGAGTTACACAGATTTGTAAAGCTGTGAACCCAGATATAAGCTATATGTGTGCAAGGCAAAAGAACTGAAAATTACATCCAGTTGAACACAATGAAATTTGTTTATGCAAAAGAGCTTGAGAAGTTGGCCCCCACAGACCTCGTTTCATCACTTGCTGCACAGAAAATACTCTCGGTAACAGGTTCGACAAATCCACATTCAGCTCCATATGGTCATTTATCCTCTCCATGTCTTTGAAAGTAAAATACTGTGAAGGCGGCATTTGGGTTTTGGGTGACAAATGACTTTTCTCAATGGAATCAAAAGCTGTGGCCATCTGCAATGAAATAGATGAGCCACAGCTGGCTTTCATAATAATCAATCCTGATTGCAGAAGGACCGTGGCACTTCCAGACTGATTGTGAGGACCTGCTGGGACAGACAATACTGACCAATTCAGTCATGTTGACAACAAGTTATTTCTCATGTTTAGATACAGACTCTACTTTGTGTCATTGAGGGAAGGAAGGTGTTGGAACTCCTCCAAAACTCTCGGTCAGCAGTAGAAACCTGAACATTCAGAAAATCCTTGAACTAGATTTAGAGTGCTTATGACCCCCATAATGTACCAACACCGAGTGTACATGTATATCATGTCAGTAAAATTTGGAACCCAACTTTAATCGGGATTTCTACCAGGAGTAGAGATTTCTGTACCTGTGCATACATCCTGATGGGAACAGATTTTTCCTAAGTCCTGCTATGTGAACTGTGGGCCTTGACACCGTATTTTCTCTGTCTGACGAAGAACGGATACCTGGCAGAGAGGCTGCAGGTTAACAAGCTTTGCAATGCCTTAGGACTCTGGCCTAAGCTAGCAAAATTCCTCTTTTTGAAATTTGGAATCGAGAATCTAGCACGTCAAGCTAGTCAGCTATAGTGAGGTAAGCCTACAAGTGATCATTCCATGGCTGGGAAATTGATATTAGCCTAAAAGGAGTGGCAGAAAAGGAAACACAATAACAAGTAACATGTTGAATAATTACTCTGCACTGGACATTGCCTGCTATTTATTATAGACCTCATACCACTGTTAACATTCTTGGTCAATGCTGTTATTCCTCCTGTAGATCAGATGAAAAATCTGACATTTGGAGAGGTAAATGTAAAGAGGTATCCTATCATGCCGGTGTACAAGGAAGGAAGATCTGAGACCCACCCTGTTGAACTTCTTCCTGACTGATCCACTGTGGAGCTGGGAAGGTGAGAGGGAAATGAGGGAAAGAGGAGAAAAGCAGACAGAAAAGGAGATGACTCCATCCTGCAGGCAGGGGAGGGGCCTTCTCTCCCTTGTACTTCTGAGCTGTGCTTTCCACAGGTCTAAATATTCCCTGAATTTTGTCTTCAGAGTCTCAAAAACCTGCCATGTCTCCAGGACACTGTGTAGTGTCTATCATAGTGGACATATTGAGATAATTAAGCAAAGACAATATTTTTCTCCATTCCTTCTGACATCGCTTCCAATGTTTAATACTTCACACTGACTTCAGAGATTTAACCTTAGTATCATTGTGGCTTTCTAAAATCCACTGACTGTGAGTAAATGTGAGATTTTTCTTAACAATTTCTTACTTTTCTGTCTATAAGAAACACCCAAAAGCAAATCAGATAAGGCTTATTTGTTATTAATGGTGGCCACAATATGTAAGAAAACATTTATTTCTTCCCTTTGAAATCACTTTCATTTCTGATATTTTGCATCCTTTTCAAATAAATAGGTCATGGATGCCTTCGCCCATTATAATACTGCAACCCCATCCAAAGCCTGCATTCATGGATGCAGAGCTGGTTCCTTTCCCCACACTGTAGTGACTGGTTGAACTCTGATTCTAAAGGTGAAGCGTTAAGAGATTTGTATCAAACCCTCTCCTCCCGAGGCATGGAAGATGAAGAATATCTGGGTGACTTAGCCCCTAATTTCTCAGGATTGCTGCTTTCCTATGCAGAAGAGCTATAGGAAGGAGAATACAATTTTGTGTTATTTTACAGCTTAACCTGATTTGTATTTATTCAGGCCCTACATGTTATTTTCCCACGCTTTGTTTCAGTGTGAGAATTAAACTCCATTGCAAAATTGACAAATTCAAATACCCATTTGCCCAAATCTCCCATCTGCCCAAAGCTCCAAAGCTCCAATGGCTCAATCTCTGGTGGTGTGGCTTAGTCTACACCGGGCTCTGACACTGTTTGGATATCCATCAACCTTTGGTTTGTTCCACATTCATGAAGCAGCCAGCATGTACGATCAATTCTTCTTTTTCAGAGCATAGGCTGCTGCTATGTGTGGAGGTACTTAACTGTTTAAGCAAATCTAGGATACTGGAACAGCAATTTAAAATATATAATGAGCCACAGAAATAGTTCCTTTGTGTTTTCAATTACTTTCATAATGCTTCTTCATCATTCTTAAAATTGTTTCCCTTTGTTTTTAAAGGGAGGGTGGGAAGAAAAGGGTAATTATTGCAAAAATATAAAGACCTCTTTATTTTCTTTGATATTGTTCACAAATTCTGTGTCATTATAGATAAATGGTTGAAAAGATTTGCAGATAATCTTGTCTCAATTGCCTTATACTCATTTTACTGTATTTTTTTCTTAGAATAATGCCTTCACTATAATGGAATTTCAAATATATTAATAGATATTAGCACTGATTTTTCTTCATGTTAAATACTATTACATCTATATGTTGCAGTCTTATAAATAAAATATGTAAATACCCTTTAAGTGTGTGTATATATATATATATATTTATATTTTACATGACTATTCATTTCTGTAGAATATCTTGAAGGAGTAATGGATTCATTTTGCATTTTTTTGGAATTGCAGATCTTTTGCTATGCCAAATAGAAAAAACAAGCTACCTTTTTACTATGATAC